TTACTAAGTCACCATACCGAATGTCTGAAATAAAGTAAAATATGCGAAATCCCAAGTAATAAAGCAATTACACAGCCCGAAGAATACGGTGTCACAAGTCTGAGCCTTTAACACAAGAGTATCAACCTACTACATATAGTCTCTAGAAACGCGGGAATAAGATAAATAAGACAAATAAGACAGAGGGAAGATCAGGACTGCGGACGTCAAGTGCAGCTACCTTGGTACTCCCGGATAAGCTGCTAAGCAGAGAAGTCCTCACTCAGCCTCAGTAGTACCTGGATCTGCACGCAAGGTGCAGGGAGTAATGTGAGTACTCCGACCAGTGAGTAATAAACATAAATAAAGACTGAGAATAAGAAATCCTGAATAGGCGCAAAGTAATTCTATAAATACAGCAACTTGGACCCAGCAACATAAACTCCAGTAAAACAGTGAAAACAATTATAGAAATATCACAGCGGATAAGTAAATAAATGACAATTAATAATATGCAATGCAACACATAGACCGGTACTCTCCAGTACCCGCTGCGGCGTGCAACCCGCTCCATTTATTTATCGTCGACGGCGCTCACTAGGGGTGTACAGACTCCGGGAGGGGCCCCTTACGGCCCAAGCTTAATAATAAGCCATATCGTGGCATCAACTAGGCCCTCGGCCTCATATCAATATCAATTTCATACCGCTACGGCGCGCAACCCGATCCCATACTCAGTCCAAAATCACATAAGCCTCTCGGGCACATTAATATAGAAATATTTAGCCCAAACTTCATTTAAAAGTATTAATTAAGTTTCTAGTTTGAGAAAAAGTGGCTGAGTTTGCAAAACAGTATCAAATACTAGGACTGAGTTCAATTATATAAAAAAATGGTAAGAAACCAGCAAGAGCAATCCCTGAAGGATTCAATCAGTTGGCACGAGGACAAATTATGACAATCAATCCATTTTTAATAATCAACTAAGCTTCAATCAGTTAGGTAGTAATTTTATTAAGCGGGACGGCCCAAGTCACGATCCCCGACGGTGCTCTACCCCACGCCCGTTATCCGCGTGCAAGTCACCTCAACATAGCACTACAATGTGCAAAATTCGGGATTTCAAACCCTCAGAACAACATTTACATCTATTACTCACCTCAAGCCGGCCAAAATCCCAGCTCGCTATGCCCTTGCCTTTCGAATTGACCTCCTCATGCACCGAATCTGATCAAAACCACAACGAATACGTCACATTATGCCAATGGGACAATTCCCAATTGAAAATAATCGAAAAATAGCTAAAATCTCGAAATTAGCAAAAACCGAGCCCCGGGCCCACTTCTCGAAAATCTGAAAATTTACCATCAACGGATTCCTTATCTCGCCACGAGTCTATACATATAAAGAACACAAAAATCGGAGTCCAAATGACCCCTCAAATCCCCATTTTAGCTCTCTTAAGTTTCAAGCCCTAATCACCATTTTTGACCCTTGATTCTTTAATTTTTCAGTCTTAATTCATGTATTTGCACCATAAAATCATGTTTTAGACTCAGAAATCCTTACCTCAATGAAGTCCCTTGATTTCTCTCTTCCAACTCGCCCAAATTCTCCAAGTCCGAAGTAAAAATTATGAAACCCTTTGATATTTCGCGAAGGAGAAATAAAACACCACTGATCATTTATTTCCGCATATGCGGCTCCTTAGCCGCATCTGCGACTTCCGCTTTTAAGGTTAAGGGTTGCTTCTGCGGAATAAACCGCTTCTGCAGTCACCAATCCGCTCCTGTGGCCACCGCTTCTGCGGATCTAGCTCCGCATTAGCGGATTCCTTTAAGATCACCAAACTCCGCATCTGCGGTTGCTTTGTCGCATCTGCGACTCCGCAGATGTGGTCAGCCAATCTGCTTTTGCGATCCCTGCCGCTTCTGCGGCTAACACCTCGCTTCTGCGGTACCGCTTCTGCGGTCCAATTTCTGCAGAAGCGAAAATACCAGAAGCAGCTGCAATTTTCTTAAGTTCTCAAACCAAAACTTCCCGTTGACCATCCGAAATCACCCCGAGGCCCCCGGGACCTCAACCAAAAGCACCAACACCTCCTATTACATCATTCAAACTTGTTCCAATCATATAAACACCTCAAACAACACTAAAACCATCATTTCTCATCGAATTGAAGCCTAAGTTCTTCCAAAACTTCCGAAACACACATTCGATCAAAAACCCAACCAAAACACCTCCGAATGACCTAAAACTTTGCACACACATCCCAAATCACCTAACGAAGCTACTAAAACTCTCGGAATTCCATTTTGACCCTCAGATTGAAATCTCACCTATCAACCGGACTTCGCCAAAATTCTAACTTTGCCAATTCAAGCCTAATTCTACACCGGACCTCCAAAATTACTTCCGATCACCCTCCTAAGTTACAAATCATCCCCCGAAGCTAACCGAATCATCGGAATTCATATCCGAGCCCTCTAACACATAAGTCAACGTCTGGTTGACTTTTCCAAAACAAACCTTCCTTAAAGAGACTAAGTGTCTCATTTCCTTCTAGAACCAATCCAAATCAACTCTTTCACACCAAACACAGATAATGAAGCATAAAGAAATAGAAAATGGGGAAAACGGGGTGGTAAGACACGTGACGACGGGTTGGGTCGTCACAAAGAGACTTCTTAAGAAGTTTGAATATTTTAATGTCACATCTGTGAGCACTCCTTTTGATGCTAACTCTCAGTTGAAAAAGAATAATGGTGACCCAGTTGCTCAGTCTAAATATGCTCTGATTATTGGGAGTCTGATCCATTTAATGAATTTTACAAGGCCTGATATAGCCTATGCTGTGTGTAGACCGAGTAGATATACTCATAATCCCAACAGAGAGCATTGGTCTGCATTAGATTGACTAATGAAATATTTGAAAGGAACCATAAATTATGGTATCCTATATAGTGGATTTCCTTCTACTTTAGAAGGGTACAGTGATGCAAACTGGATCTCTGATTCAGATGAGACAAAATCCACTAGTGGTTATGTATTCACCCTTGGTGGTGGTGCAATATCTTGGAAATCAGCTAAACAAACGATCATTGCTAGATCGACTATGGAATCATAGTTTGTAGCTATGGAGTTAGCTGGTTCTGAGGCTGAGTGGCTAAGAAACTTCCTAGCTAATATCCCTTTAATAAAGGACGTATTGTCTCCTGTGTCTATACATTGTGATTGCCAAGCGGCAATAGCTATAGCAAAGAATAAATCTTATAATTGTAAAAGTAGACACATGAAATTGAAACATGATGTCATAAAGCAGCTGCTGAGAGATGGAATAATTTCCATTGATTATGTGAAGTCAGAAGTTAATTTGGCCGATCCTCTGACTAAACCCATGGGAAGAAAATTAATTCTTCAAACCTCAAAAGAGATGGGGTTAAGGCCGACATGTTGTCAATAGAGATGGTAACCCAACCTATGTGATTGGAGATCCCATGAAGTAGGTTCATATGGGTAATAACAAGTCAATATTGACACTGATGCACTAAAAGAGAGTGCTTGACTGCTACTAATTGAGAGGCTGAGTTATAACTCTTAATGAAATTCATAGTCCTTATGGATGGTGTATTTAAAAGCAGTATACACTTGATGAATTCACCTATATAAGAGTGGAGTGAGCCGCTCCTATGAGATTTGGCCTAGTCTCTAGAGCTCTCATGAATAACCAGGCACGCGCATGGCCTATTGGGCGCAAAACCGCGTTGAACGGCAAAATTACCGGGGGTCAAAATGTGATTGATAAAATCTCTGACTTACAATAAGAATTACTGGTTCATAGAAATATTATATTTCACCAGTAATTTTGTGGGTTAAACTTTATTGATCTAAGTTTGGTTCATAGTCCAAAAGACACCAAACCTATTGCATTTGGACCATACAAATCCAGCAAATCTTACTCCTCTTTGTATGAAGTTTTTGAAAATATGTGGGGGAACTGTTATGATATTTTCCAAAAATGGACAAATGTTCAACCATGTGTCAATTTGCATGGGAAGTTCAAAACATGTGGCAACTTGCATGGGAAGTTCAAAGCAAGTGTCATACACTTGGCATGCCTAAAGCCTCTCAATTAGCCTATAAATAGGCCTTCAAATAGCCATCATGCATCAGCACATTTCACTTTGCCTCTTTCTTTCCTTTTCTTCCTCCTTAAAACATTTATAGTCTACTTTGCTTTGTTCCCTCTTTTAAAATAGTTGGGTTTGTAATTTACTATTTTGCTGATTCCTGTATCCTCCCTAATAGAGGTAGGCTTGTTTAATCCTGGGGAAACATTTCACAGTGTTGAAATAGTTTCTTAGGACAGTGCCTAGCACGACTCAAGCCAGTCCGTGTATCCGTTCACAAATAATATTATTGCGGTATTATTATCGTTATTTTTGGTGTCATTTCCCTACAAGAGCAAATGTGTTTAGTGCAGAAGTTAATAAACAAGCTACTATCAATGTATACATTTCTGAAAATATGAGATTCACATTTAGGTGCAAGGCAAACATGTAATCTAAACTCAAGCTGTCACCTGTTAATCTTAGTGTCTGATATGTTCTCTTCGATGCAGTTATTCAGTAAACTATTTAGGTTCCAAATTAAAATTGCTTGGGTGATTAAAGTTTAGAAAACAATTAAGATGACAGATAGAAGCAGTATCAGTGTTTTTAAGAGCAAAAGGCGAGGTCCATTGGATTCAAAGAACTAATTTCAGCATCCAATATAAAAGAACGTGGATGTTAATCCAAATCCTCAAAACTGAGATTCAAAGAACCAAACCATTTCTTGTTTGGATCACTTTGCACATTATTGTTTGAAGGGGGGACACTTCTCTAAAGTGCATGCCTTCGCTGATGAAGGAATAACCCCTCGGTTTGCATCACTCGATCGCTCAAACTATGACTTTTAATAATGCTAAGCACAAAAGGGAAAGAAAGCAGGTTTAATGGTAAAGTGAGCTATGTACTAACCTTATAATGTCCTGCATGTCTCATATCCAGTACAGACTTAACCTGCCACAAAGGGTTGCGAAACATTGCTCGCACATGTTCTGCAGGAAATGACATTGCTAAAATTCGATCTGATATATAAGTCATGTCAAGATCATACCCGCCAACAAGCATTCGCCTTCTCTGTTTCGACACCAAGTTACGTATGTACAAACTTCTTGACAGATAGTTTATCAGATTATGGTGGAGATCCATGATATTCAGATTAACAGGCTTCCTGAAACCCTGTTTTGACAATCTTGGCCCCATTTCTTTGTTCTAATCTTAAATCCCAATGCAATACCTGCATAAGATGTAAACCATTCGTTTAAGTAGGGGCGGATATAGAGCACTGGCGCCAGGTTCATCTGAACCCAATGCTTTCAAGGCGGAGCATAAACTTATGTTTGAAAACACTAATATTGGCATAAACGGTAGGTCTGAACCCATAAGTTTAATGATACTATGGGTTGAATGCTAAAAACCTTAAAGGTTGAACTCATAGAATTTAAATCCTGGATCTACATTTAAGATACCTTTTCATTGATTGAGATAGGGAATTATACAATGTTTTTACAAGCGCAAAAAGTGGCAAATTCCATGAGGCTTGAAGAGAAAAGCTAGAAATGAAGTTCACACTTCTAATTTCGAGATCCAATATACAAAATTGAGGATATTAATCCAACTCCTCATGGTTGAGATTCAAATTATGGACCATGTCTTTTTGGGATCAATTTGGGCGTCATTGAAGTTTACATAAATGCATGGCTTCGCCCGTGAAGCAATAATTCCTTGTTTTGCATCACTTTATTGCTTTAAGAGACAGCTTTTAGTTACACTTTGAAGCTACAATTTACAGCTAGTCAAAGCATTAAAAAATAGGAAGTAATTACAAGAAAAAGGTTCAGAACCATATCAAATGATTAATTCGCAATCTCAACATTGATTTTTTTTAAGCAGTGAGCATGCAAAACCTGTCCAGTAAAACAAAAGCTAGAGAGTGAGCACCAAAGTGGTGGTTATACCCACAGCTTGCAGCTAAAACAGTGATATATGAGAAATTATGGCCATCCCATGAATTTGAATATGTTAATCAAGTTATAATTTTTCATTAGTAATTTTACTTATTAAGCTACAAGCTGCAGAATTTCAAACAACTTGATTAAATCTAATTAGAAGATATAAGGTGTATTGAACTTAAAAGATAAATAAAAAACTCAAAGTTTCATCCACGCACTTCTGCACACATACATTTTTCTTTTCTATTATTATAAAAGTATCCTTACATCCGTACTCGTTGCCTAAAGCCAATTTTTAATAAGGGGCCTTTTTTGTTTATAGTGTAGTTATCTTACAAAACATAATAATATTATTTACATAGGTTTAATAAGATGTAAGCCACGTATTTACAATGTGTTACCTTGGATCTATAAAAAATATTTTTTAGCAATATGAAGATTTGAATAGCTTAATTCAAAGTTTTATTTGTTAAAATATAGACAGCTTTCTACATTTATAAGAAGCTTGTACTTTTATTTTTTCTATAAACTTTAATATTGTCTAAGCGAAAATAAGATAGAATTCATAACTAAAAATATTTTTGGGACCCAAAATTTAGGCGCCTAAAGCAAAGGCTTTACTAGTCTTTAAGGCTTTACTAGTCTTTCGCTTGAGCCATCGCTGTCCATGCACATAACATGTAATCCCAACACCATATTAGAAAATTCAAGACAATCTTGAATCCATTTCAACATGGATTTTTTAACCAAATAGAGACCTAACATCAAAACAATGATAAGGAAAAGCCACAAGATTAAAATTGAGGAAGGAAGTACCATTCAAATTGAACATAAAGATCCAAATCAACTTGCTATTGATTGGAAGGCAGACCATAAATTTCAGAAATGATAACAGGTATGCCTCCCTTTTGATCACTTTTCGTTAAAAATTGGTCCAAGAAACTAGTACAACTTGTACATAAATTTGGTTCTTGGACCAACACAAGGGAATGGATGGTTTCTTTTTCTTTTTGATTTTATGGGGGCCAAGAAGAGGAGTAAATGGAGTCCATGTCTGGTTCAGGAAGAGAGAGGGATGGAGAATTGGGAAGATTCTTAGTATAACTATCATAATGATGAATTAGGAATGAGTTTTGGACAACCCCAAATTGGAGAAAAATGAGCCGCAATACATGCTGCATGGTTGCTCCTATGGCCATATATATAGTTTTCCCTATAATAATCTTTTCTTTTTTCCTCACATGTTATCCGGTACTTATTTTGAAGTCCGATTGATTAGAATTCGTGTCAAGAAATCCGATTTTGGGACAAAGTACTCCTCCCAAAGGCGACTCCATTCTCAAAAAATAAACCCGAGACCTTTGATTAAGAACGAATGATATTAACCTGTAATTATCTTAAAAGTATATGATTGTGTAAGTATTTTTTACACTATCATAAAACTTAAACTCTAACTCTAAGGGACATTTGGTTTAGGACATATATAGTTATGCAGGGACTAAATACAACATAGAAATTGCTTATGTGATGAATAGTATACAAGAATTATGATGCGGTGGATAATGAAACATGAATTGTTATATGCTGAATAATAATATATGGATTGTAAGGTGGTGATTGTCTAATTTAAGGACATTTTTGTCTTTAGATACCTTTATCCACAAACTCACTTTTATTCCTCATTTTATCTCATATAAATAATCCACATATTCCGTCTAAGTCATATCGGATTAGTAATACAATATTTGACTTTTTGTATTAACTAAAAATCCGCAAACTTATGCAGTTATGCTGATTTCAATATTGAAATCAAGCACTATTAATTACACGGAAGTTATACTCCCTCGGTCTCAAATTATCTGTCCTGCTTTTTAAAAATAGTTGTCTCAAATACCTTAACTATGAGTAAGTATTAAATGAAAAAAGATTATATTTAAAAAATTAAAAACTTTTCCTATTTAATATTTTCTTAAAAGACATATAAAAGAGAAACATGACAGATAATTTGAGACAGAGGAAGTATAATTAATCTGAAACGTAGGAAATATTAGTTATGAAGAATTATATACCAGAAACCAAAGTTGCATGAGTAATGCAAAGATTAAAATTTACTCCATTATACATCAAACCAGACGACCCCTAGTCCCCTAGGCCGTATTAAGTATAATTCGCCGAGGTAGCTTTAATTAATGATATAGTTGCACTATCTGGTTGAAATTCAAGGTAGGAGGTGAGATTTCTGGAAAGTTCGTTATATTTCCCGGCTATTTTTTATTTATTATCGTCCACAGAAAATTATTTAAAATTACAAGTAGGAGAATCTAACATGTATCGTCCACGTGTCAAAAATGTGACCAACAAGTCTATACACATAATAACAGGACCTCTATTAGCTCTTTTTACTCTATTGCTAGGTTTAATTTGAGAAAACATGGTAGCATCATCTATGGCTGTGGCATCAACAAAATCTACATTTTTCCACTGTGCGTCATCTTCTAGGGAATTTGGATCCAATTTCAGTAGTGGGGTTCCAATAAAGAGTCTTAATTTTCAGTTAAAAAGCAGAAGAAGTAAAGCTAGAAATGAAGTTTGTTTGGTAGTATCTGCTACTGGTTCTGGTAAAATTTCGGAAGAGAACAATGATGTTAGTGGGGGAAGATTTTACCTCAATTTCACTGGATTTCCTTTCCCTCTTGGTCCTTTCCTTAATAGACGCACAATTAGAACTGAGGTAACCATTAGTTTTTTCTTGCAATTATGCTTGCTGTTTAGTGTTTATGTGCCAAAATGGAATCACCTGATTAGTCATATTTCATGATTTTAATGATAATTTAAAGGATTCTTTTTGGACTATGCTTAGTATTTTAACCTGTTGTAGTAGGTAATCTGCCTTATTTTGCTGGTCACTAATCCCACTATTTATAGACAGTTACCTGTAATTATTTTTTATGAAGGGGAGCCTTGGTGTAACTGATAAAGTTGCTGCCGTGACCAGGTGGTCATGTTTTCAAGCCGTGGAAACAGCTTCGTAAGGCTGCATACAATAGAGCCTTGTGGTCCGGCCCTTCTCCGGACCCCGCGCATAGCGGGAGCTTAGTGCACTGGGCTGCACAAGGGCATATGCAGAACTTTTTGTAAGCAGCATCGTATCTACATAAATAAAATAAATAAACAAGTATTATTTAATATCATTTTTTCACGAGTTGAAAGCCTTGGCCCAATGGTTTAGTCGAATATTATTGCAAAGGAAGGTATAGGTTCAATTCTCCTTAGCCTCAGATATTCAAAAAATAGAATGTCTAGGTCCATATTAGAACTTGTGAACTTTACAAGCCCAAATACGAGCTTGACCAGCGGACCCAGAAGTACTCTCTGCCAGGAAGCGGTGTCATTGCTATATCTCGCTTCAATTTTACAAAATATTAGTATAATCATTTAATATTTTTTTCCGGCGAAGCGGTGTCGGATGACACTGTTTCGACCCATGTGCATCCGCCCCTGGGGCTGCCCTTACCTGTAATTATTTTTATGTGACGTCTCTTTACAGTATCAGTTTATAGAAGTTAAACTCTAATTATGATTGTCTTTTTCCATACAACTTGATTTACTTCTCTTTGGATTCTTTTGAATCGAAGTGTCCTCGTTTGATATAGAGATCTTTAAAAGAGAAAGATTAACTTAAACCATGAGCTATAGCTTAAAGGAAAATGAATCTAAAAGTGGGTTATATCCTGTGACCACTTCATCTAAAAGGAATGTTAAGCTGGTATGGAGGGGACACATTTATTTAATGTTAGGTCTGCAATACGTCCCTTCATGTTTGAGTCAAATATGCAATGTTGCACGGACTCTCCAAAATACTGCCGCACCCGTGTCGGATTCTCCAAAAATACACTGCTTTTGGAGAATCCGACGCACCCGGCGATATTTTCGGAGAGTCCGAGCAACATAGCAAGTATGTGGAAATTCATTTTGATATTGAGTGGCGGTGAGACATGGACCCAGTACGACTCTCTACTATCTAACTATTTAGTAGTGTTTTGTGGGTCTACATCATTCTTTTTGCTGCATTTCAGATCAATTCACCACATTGTAGGATGTCTACTATTAGGAGTAACTACTAAACTTTACCACCAACACCAACATCAAGTGTTACTTCAGGAATTATGTTGTTCTTGGAACACGGAAATAATATGACAAACATATATAAGAAGACATTACCAAACCTAGATACTGAAAAACAATCTTTGACCTGAGGTTCTGTGATAGCTATTAGCTCAGATACTCCAAGCCGTACCTGTGTTGGATCCTCCAAAAATAGTGCATGTGAGGGTCCGATATGGGTGCAGCCGAAATTGTGGAGGATCCGAGCAACACAGGGTGATGGAATGAAGTGACTTGAGGAAATATACTCATGCCTGCTAGTTCTTTTGGCTCTGTAAAGGCTTAACAGTTAAGCAAAACTCAAAATCTTTTGGAGAAGCAACTTTCATGTTTAACTAAAACGGATATCTGGGAGAAATAACAAGTTTCGCTAATAAAATTCCTGGTAGGTGTACTATCATAATGAAATATACGGCATTTAAGACTCCGGATTTGGACTAACTAGAACAGTCTTAATTTACCTGTCTTTTTTGAATTGTTACATTAGGTGATTGATAGATATAGCTCAGCATCATAATCTGTAGAGAGGATCTTCAGAAAAGCTGTATGTATTCAGACAGAGTACCCATATTGTGCTACTAACACTTTTTCATCATTAGTATCTCAGGTTGCCAAAGACAGCATATGGTTATTTGAGCAAGAGCAAGCATTGGGATTCAGCAGTGTTTCAACAAACATCAGAATGACTGTCATCAAACTTAAATCTGGTGAATTGTGGGTTCATGCTCCTATTGCTCCAACCAAAGAGTGTATTCAGGTAACTCTAAAGCCAACATAACTATCCTTGCTTTTTCAGTAGATTAGATTTTGGATGATATTTTCTCAGTATTTCAAGGATTGAAATGACTAGAAATTATAGGGGCCGTTTCCCATCTTTATTTTTGATGAAGTTGATAGGGGTTCTTGTTTACTGATGGTGTTGATCTGCGATTGACTCTAAACATGGTTTATTATTGTTAAAAGAGTTTAAGATTTGTGCACTAACAGTTGATAGATTTTTACGTTATCGTGTTAAGTTGATCTACTATAACATGTAACTGTTCATAATAAGCCTGATATGTTTAACCTGACAAATAGAGTAATCACCTACTGTAGCCTGTTAAAATGAGTTGATCAGTTTATACAACTTAAATCCAAAAAATGTTGATATTTACCAGTGTGTTTTCCTTTTGCAGCTCGTGAAAGAGTTAGGTTATCCAGTGAAATATATCGTCCTTCCTACATTTGCGTATGAGCACAAAATATTTGTTGGCCCCTTCTCCAGAAAGTTCCCAAAGGCTGAGGTATGGGTAGCACCAAGGCAATGGAGTTGGCCTTTAAACTTGCCTCTTGAGTTTTTTGGGATTTTCCGCTCAAAAACACTAAAAAATGAGGATATGTCGACACCATGGGCTGATGATATTGAGCAGAAGGTTTTGAGCTCTCCAGAAGTTGGTAACAGACTCAGCACTCATATAATTTCGAATTATGCAGCTGTACCTTGTATTTCAAATCTAATAAACTTTTGCCTATTGGTTTTTAGGAATTGGACCATATGTTGAGGTGGCTTTCTATCATAAACGTTCAAGGACGCTACTGGTGACAGATGCTGTGATATTTGTCCCGAAGACTCCACCTGAATGTATTAGCAAAGAATCCTTGTTAGCATCTGCAGAGAATGGTTTGGCTGTTAAACTACTTAGTAAAGGAAAAGAAGTCTCTGATGAACCTGTTGTTGACAACAAAATCAATCGACAGAAAGGTTAGCCCTCTATTGATAACCAAGAAGTTGATGAACACCTGAATTGTGTGACAATCTCATCTAAAAGCATATTAAGTTGCCTGCTCGGATATTAGAGAGGCTGCACTTTATATACTTAATATTTTCAACATGACAGATCCAAGAAATTGCTTAGAAATTTGCTTTATCTGTATTTTCTGCATTTTTTCAGGATGGGAGAGGATGGTTCTTCAGATTTTGTTTCTAGGTCCATCAAATCTTCTGGAGCCAAATGCTAGCTTTGCTCAGATGTCACAAAAGCTAATTGTTTCACCAATTGTTAAAACATTGGTTTTCAGCAAAGTTCCTGAAAAGGCAAGTCACCTACTACTCTCTTCCATTTACATGAGTAATACAGTATATATCTCGGCTTATTGTGTAATCAATATGCTAATCTCTGGTGCAGCCTAACACTCAGCATTTTTCTAATTGAAATCAATGCAACTGTGTTCCGAGAGAGCAAAATTTTATTTACTTAAATTATATAACGTCTCAAAAACCTTATTAAAATATTATTTTTTTGCTTTTCGATAGTCGTGAGATTGGAACTTAGGATCTCCTCAGCTACCATGTTGAAGTTTATTACCATATCATCTAAAAACTTAAACTATAAGAGCGAGCACACTTTATTTACTTATATTATAATATTTCTCGACAGCTACCACATATCTTTAGAGTGGCCTACAACAGTTTGGTCCATTCGTCATCAGAGGAGAAGCAACTAAGATCCTTTTTCTGTTAGGAGAAAGTGTAGGAGTGTCTGCTTTCTGATGATCTTGTGTTTTCCTTAAAACTTCAGGTTAGAGATTGGATTGACAGCATAGTTCGAGACTGGAGATTCACGAGAATTATCCCTGCTCATTTTGCAGCTCCGATAAATGCAAGCAGGTCAGATTTGTTAGCAGCGTTTGCATTTCTTGATGATCTCTTGGGCGAGCGATATGTCACTCGGCCTTCTATCTCGCTTCTCTTCACTTCACTATTAGGAAAGGCTGCTAGCTATTTCCCTCCGGATGACATGAGGACCCTATCATCCCTGGATCAATTCTTAGTGTCTGTTGGAGCAGTGAAGAAAACCGTCTCAGGTCGTAAAAGATGACAGAAAATATACAAATGTACACTAATTGTTAGTATTGGAAATGCTTTAAACGATGAAAGCAAAGTTTTCTACACTTATCAGTAAAGAAATTGTAATCATAGCGTAATAGTAATCACGAGAGTTTAGCTCGACTTTGTGCACCATATATTTACAATTGAGCTCTGAGCTCGAATCTCCCCAGTATAACATTGTCAACACTTAGCAATACATCTTAATCTAAAGTGAAAATTAGCAAAACCTATAGTAGCTTTTGGAGTACTATAATTACAAGAAATGGCACAACACCAAGATAATAAGCCTCAAACTACATGACCAACAAGATAAACACATCCCGGTTTAACTTCTGAAATAGTTTTCAAGTCAAAGTGCTCGAGTGACACAAGGCAGCAGAAGAGCTGCAGCTGAAAAAAGATAGGACTACTGAAATTGGACGGGTCAAATATGCTGCTGGTTATCATCTCCATCTCCAGTTTCATCAGTGAAATCTAAGCCTACGATACTCATCTTGCCAACGTTAACTGCAAGTTCTAGCTGTTAGGAATGTGGGAGAGAAGATAAGAAGGGTGGAGAGAAATTACTTCCACGCAACAACAATATAAGCTTAACACTGGATTTGCAAATAAGACACCAACCAGACATAGTTAAATTTTTATTTGTACCTTTCCGTCGAGGAAAGATGGCTTAAGTAGGGTCTGGATGTAATCTGGTCAAATTAACACAGAGAGTTGTTCGACTGATTCTCAAAATCAAAACCAACTCCATAAAAGCTTCATATCTAATTAGGTAGTCACAGAGATCTATGCAGAAGGTCTTCATTTAGCCAGTATTCAGGAGGCAAAAGAAAAAAAAATAAAGGATGCATTAACAGGTAGATATCTCAAAAGATACCCAAGGATCACCAACGTCAAGCACAAAACTATTTTGATGAGATCAAGAGAAAATTGTTTATCCGTGATCTGGCAGTCGGAACAAATATTTCATCCATTCTTAGCATGCTGCAGATCATAACAAATTGGTGCAAATAATGGTGAAATTTCCAGGTTGGATGTTTAATTGAGGTAAAGATTTGAAAAGCCTCCTTCTTCTTTGTGTCCCTTATTAGGAAAAAGAAGGTGCAGGAGAGACGGTAAACTTTGAACTGCCACGAGGAGCAGCAGCACAAAAGTATACCCAAGTCATGAAACCTGGTAGTCTAAAACTGTTGTTTGATATACATATAAGAAAAATTATTTGACATAAAATTGTTGGGCCATAACTAAAATGATTTGAGAAAGGCAAAAACCATTATCAGGTTCATATTACGATCAGAAAGAGAAATCTTGCAAACTGTAAAATGATAGGAATATGGTAACTTTACCAACAGCATCAATCCCGGCTAATTTGGGCATGAACTTGTTGATATGGTCCTCAGCTGCTTTACCTGCTTTCAGTGTCTCACACTCGAAAGAAACAAGAATCTTGTGCTTCTGGTCCTTCTGGTCAACCATATTCACGACATCATCTTCCCATCTAGTGATAAAGAAATACAACACAATTAGGAAAGTACAACGGAGAGAAGTCTTTAACTCATATAGCCATCCTTAGCCATATGTTTGATGATCATTTCTGCTACATGAATATGCTTCTTCGTGGCTATATTCCCTTGAACCTATTGTACTCATTTGAATCGTCTATTTCATGGTCCTCTTTCAAAAAATAACATTCTTTTTAAAAGATAGAGAAACTAAGGTTTAGAGTTCTAAAGTACAGCTAATAGGTTCGGAAGATGACTCTAGTCCATACACTATCAAATCCTAGATTAAATTTACACCCAAGTCTCAGCCCTCTATCCACTCCTTCGCATCCACCTCAGCAAAAGCATTATAGGGTGTGTACAGGTTTGCCGATAAAAAAATTGAATGGATTCAAGTAGAGTTTTCACAAATGCAAAAAAATGCTTCCATTTCAAATTTCAATCATATTCCTAGTCGAATAGTGAGGACTAGAATACACACTAGAAGAACTCTAAAAGGTTTCACAGAAGGTATATATTTTGTTGCTACAGAGAAACCCTTCAGAGTTCAGATTAAAGCAAGAACTTTCATTTCTAAAACAGACTTCCAGTAAATCTCAGACTACTTACCCATGAGCATGGTCAACGTTATGTATCCTAGCAGCATCATGTCCTCTGCACTCCACTATGACGTCCCTTTCTCTCTTTTTCTATGATACACCACAATTAAGGAAATAAGAAAGATCAAGCTTTGCTGATCACCCGCTGGTAAGATCGCTAAGCTAACAAGTTAATTACAAAGAAATAATGGTAATATGATTGGAGGAGAACCATAGTTAATGGCTCTTACATTGTAGTCAATTATTGTGAGCTTGACCAGGCGGTAGTCCTCGCCCCTGCTGCATTCCCTTTCGCAAACCATCTCTTTCAAGGAAAAACAAATTAGTTCAAAATCTGATGAAACACCCCAATATTTGATGTATAGACACGCTAGAAGTGATCTCAACCATGATAAAGGAGGGTCACACTAGGACCTAGGTTGATGACAAGTATAAAAATAATTTACCATGACAAATCCTACGAATACAGAATTTGTCAGGAGACTTAGAACGTGCACACCTAGCCACATGCTACCTATAGTGGGAATGGATGTAAAAGATTTGTATGACTGACCCCAATTAGTTTGGAATTGAGGCATAGCAGATATTTATGAGCGACCTCATTCACCTTTCTTCTGGAACCTAATTTAGTTACTTCTACTATATCTCAATTAGTAGATTGATTAGAGATATAGTAAAAGCAACTAAATTAGGCTACAAAAAAAAGTGAATAGAAGAGAGAGTTGAAAGATTATTTAACTTAACTGTTTCACTTTAGTCCATAGAGAAGTTCACAAGTAGGATATAACAAGGTTTCAAAGTTAGTGACATGTGTTACAAACCCAAACATTTTTTCATTTTCTCATAGTGCTAATATCGAGACCAGCTTGTGGGCATCTCAACTATTCCATCGGGTACCTGTTACCTCCCACCAGCATAGGTACCGGATAACTTTGCCCCAAGGCTTAGCATCTTGACAATTCCACTGAACACATGCTACCTCCTACCATTACAAGTAGGATTACTTTGCCTGGAAAAACTTAGGGAGATGAAAATAAATCACCTAGTATAGTTATAAACCCAATATTATTCAAAGGACCCAAATGTACCTTTTTTATTTATGACAGTGATGTTTGACCCAACTTGTGCGCACCTCGAATATTCCATCAGAAACCTAGTACCTTCCACCAGCACGTGTACTAGGTAACTCTACACCTCAAGACTTATAGCCTGTTTGGCCAAGCTTCTTTTTGGCCAAAAGTGCTTTTTTTTTGCCAAAAACACTTTTGGCCAAAAATTGAGGTGTTTGGCCAAGCTTTTGGAAGGAAAAAAAGTACTTTTGAGGAGAAGCAGAAGCAGTTTTGGAGAAGCAGAAAAAAGTAGCTTCTCTCCAAAAGCACTTTTTTGAGAAGCACTTTTGAGAAAAATACACTTAGAAGCAGTTTTTAAAGCTTGGCCAAACACTAATTGCTGCTCAGAAGTACTTTTCCAACTAATTAGCCAAATACAAACTGCTTCTCACCAAAAGTACTTTTGAAAAAAGCACTTTTGAAAAAAAGCACTTCTCAAAATAAGCTGATTTTTGCAGCTTGGTCAAACGGGCTATTAGATAGAAAGGAAGCTATCACATACTCCCTCCGTTTCAATTTAGATAATGTAGTTTGACTTGGCACAAAGGAAAAATAGAAGATTTTTGAAATATGCGGTCCTAAAAGCTTAAGGGGCAAAAGCTTTGCGGGGCCATGACATTTGTATGGCTATAAAAGCTTCTCATTAACGGTTAAATGGATAAAATAAAAAATTTAAAAGTTAAATTATTTCCAAATATAAAAATGTGTCATTTTTTTTAAATGTACTAATAAGAAATGTGTGTCATTTAATTGCGACGGAGGGAGTAGTATTTTTTGCCTCCGAGACGGAGCCCGAACCTAAGACCTGATGATTCTCCACCCGCTTTATTGCCTAATAGGCCAACCCTTGTGTGCAAAAGACCCAAATGTACTTAAACCAAAACACAAACCCTCATTAGTGGAGGGAACTACTCATTACCTATGCATTCCAACTAAGGTAAAGCAGATACATTATTCGTGACAAAATGAGTAATTATACCAGTGCCATGGATACCATAACAGATAGAATGGGGAAGATGAATGAAGTGACCCGAAATTGACCCGTCTTCTAGGAGTGCTATTGATGCTACCCCTTCCATAACTTTTCCTTCCATTTCTTCTTCACCTGTAAGTATTAAAAAGCTGTTTGTATAAATAATATTAACTTTACAAGAGCAAATCTTATGTACATACAAAGTTGATTAAACTTTTTACCCATTGCTGCTGCTGGAACTATGGTAAATGTGACTGTGTCACTGTGTGACTGTGTATGTGTGTGAGAGAGAGAGGGGGTGGAAGTGTGGGTAGCCGGAGAGGTGGAATAGGGCTTGCAGATAAAAGAATGGGCCGGATCTAAGCAAGATCCGCCAGATCCACTAGTGAAAGCCCATTATGGCCCACCAAATATGCATGCAGACTGAGGTCAATGACACAAATAACTAAGTGCATTTAGTGTCACCATTTAAATTTTGACCCATTCAGAAGATTATAGGAAACAACCTTACGCCAGAATTTTGAAGCAAGCTAGTACACTGAAACTATCTATTATGTTAAGTGGCCGTCACCTTCTCATCAGCAATCACCATCGCCAAGAATGGCATTGTCGCAAAGCTTTATCGTGTCATACACCCTTTCAATTGCTGCCCGGAGGACCAAACCTGACTGCTGGGACAAGCTTGGTATACTGTATTCCCTTTATCGACAGGCCCGAGGAGTGTTCCCTCTCTTATTTTCCGTTTTTTTAAGATAAGAAAGGAGACAATATGCCCGTCAACTTCAAGATCCATTACGTGTCCAGGGACTTTTGTTCTTCTTGGCATCTGTTATTTTTAATGTGCTACCCCTTTCTTTTCTTCCAAACTCGGTCGAATACGTCGTTAACCTTTGTGGTGGATCGACGAGAGTGCGCCTAGCTAGGAGTGTGGTTGGTGTTGAAGGTACAAGAGGGGGGTGAATTATTTATTTTTAAACTTAATTGCTATTAGTTGACTAGTTTTTCAATTAGTCGACTAGATGTAATAACTTGATAGCAGTAACGACAGAATTTAAGATGCTGAAATTAAATGTAGGAATTAAAGACACCAGAATTTTTATACTGGTTCGGATTCAATGTGAATCCTAGTCCAGTCCCCTTGGGTTGCAAGGGAGTTCTTTTTCAGTGAATGAGTTTCTTCGAGTACACAGAGAATGGTGTGATCTACACCGATAGCTTAGTTTCTATATCACTCATTTCTTTTGATACAATGTCTCACTAGTGTTGTTCTCTCTTTCTTCTCTAACTTGTTACACAGGAGGTCTTAGTAGAGCTACAATGTTTGTTTGCAGTAGAACAAAGAGAGGATGTTTGGTTCGATCAAAGTATATGTGCTGAGGTGTGATTACAAGTTTAAATACTTTGAGAGAGGCTTGAATTCTGGAGAGATTTGCCAACCCAAGAGATTTGATCCTTGGAAAGAGATTGATTCTTTCCAAAAATAAGGTTATTCCACACGGCTCAAACTAACGAGAGGCTTTAAATATTTTCCCTTGAGCGCGATCCCGGAATCTTGATCCTTCCAGATTTAGATACTTGATTGAATATTCTGCAAGATCTTCGATATACTTGATTTATTTGATCCCTTTAGTTTAGCCTTGATTGATTCCGTCAGTATCAATTTCTTCCTTTAATCACGCCGGCTTTCCTTGATTGACTCTGATTGATTCCTTCAATCTTGTATGCTGATCCATGCGTTCCTTGATCAATGCTATCCATGAGTTCCTATAGAAAGAGCAAATATATTATTTTCATCGTTAAAATCAGATCTAACAATCTCCCCCTTTTTGATGATGACAAAATAATATATGTATAAACAACAGTTGACTTACCTGTATTTTACTCCCCCTCAATAAGAGCAGCTGACTTTGGCTGGTGCTAGTTTGTTTGAGGCGCATATAGTCGACTGCTTCAGGTTTTGTGACTTCCCCTCAAGGAGTCCCAAACTGACCTACCCATAGTCGACTTATTATGTACCTGCACAATACATATATCTTTTCTCCCCCTTTTTGACATCAGCAAAGAGGGAATAGGGAAAAAAACACGGCATGCGAAAATAGGATTCATAGCAGAATGTACTAGCAGAGTTAGAACATAACAAAAGAAAGAAAAATTATCCACCGACTGATATTTCAGTCCAAAAACAACACAACAAAAAAAAATTGTCTTAAACTTCCACATTAGCGACGCAGAAAATAGGTAAGAGTATTGCAGATAGCCTCCTTCAGTTGATCAAAGCTAGCATTGGCTGAGACACTCATTCCATCAAGCCTGTCATGAACCTCCTTAAATGCCTTGACATCATTTTCCCTTACTCTGAGAACCGCAACCCGTATCTTGGAGACATCAGATCATGTTTCTTTGGAGATGGCATGAATGGTATACCAACAGTGGACTGAGTGGCAATGAGAAGATCTTTGATTGCAGAGAGCTGATTGTCAATGGCACTAAGTTTCTCAACAAGGTTAGGATCACTATGGCTAGGATGGGAAGCAAAAGGTTTGGGTTTGGAGTCTGTATGAGCAGTCTTGACATCTCCTTCTTGTTTCTTGACCCATGAGCCCTTCACACACACATATCCCATACTTGCAAAAGCTCTGGAGTTGTAAGATTTTGAAATAGAGATAAAAGGATATGCAGATATGGAAATATTGTGAGCTTCCAGAATGTGAGTGATAGCCATACCATAGGGTAGACTAGTGGGATTTTCTGCACTCTCAATCATAAAATTGATTACCCAGGAGGACAGTTTGATTTTGAGTTTGGTCACAAGGCAATAGACCAGAAAAGTATCTTTTAGAGAGAAGGTGGAGAAAGAGCCAGTACGGGGAAGCAGAATGGTTGCAACAATGTAGGCTAGAACACGAGTTTCAAAACTAACATCACTAGGGCCTAGCTGGTTTGGGAGAGATTCAGATGGACACTCAGCAATACATCTCTTGGCTTGATCAAAGGAAATTTCAAAATCATCGGGCTAGGAATTTTTAAAAAGCATAGGGAAACCAGAACACTTACACTAAAAAATCGAATCAAACATGGCACAATCAAGAATAATACGCTTTCGTAACACTAAGGACTCCAACTTATCAGACTTACTAGAGCGAAGATTAGCATAAAACATTCTCACTAGGGGTTCATAGACTTTAGGCGGAGGAGCAGAGAAAAACTTAGACCACCCTTGATAAACGAAAAGATCATTTACCTTACAATTTAGGGCTTCCATGTCATCAAGGTCGACTACCCTCCCATGAGCAATACTTTTAGGGCAATGAAGAAGTCCCTATTTGGAGAATCCCAGAAATTGAGTTCCGACTCAAGAGAACTGGAAAGGTCGATTTTTTATTTCTTTGGAGTAGGGAAAATAGGGGGTTCTTCCATGGGTCTTTTTCCCAAGGCTTTTTCTCCTAAGGGTTGAGAATGATCAGAGAAGTCCGCCTGAGAAGAGGCAAACCCCTCAGAATGATCGGACCCTAGGTCTACTTGTTCAGGGGGCTGAGAAGGGGGTTTTGCCCTGGAGCGGGTGCTCTTTCTAGTGGAGGCAGAGGGATGTTTGGGTTGTTTGGCCATTGAAGAAGGTTTTGGTTGAGCAAGTTTTCGGAGAAGGGTTTTTAGGTAATAGAGACGATGGAGATTGAAAAGAAAGTTCAGCATAAAAAGAGGGTTTCTGACGGTTGAGTACAGAAAAGGAAAAGGCGTCAGTTGATCAGACACGATGATTGACTTTCCTTCTTTGAACTCTGCGACTGATGTGAAAAGAGAGGAAAAAGGAGGGAAATCGGAGGCGTAATTAATGAGTAAGAAAAGATATGGAACATTTGAGATACAAAATAAAATAATGACACATAGGTCCTAATATTAACTATTAATGCAAATAATTCCAAGTAAATCTCTTAGTGAACAAAATCTCTCTTCTAATAAAGGCTTGGTAAAAATATCCGTTAATTCATCAGTTGTTCCAACAAAAGATATTTCTATATTTTCCTTAAGGACATGATCTCTAATGAAGTGATGCTTGATGTCTATATGTTTTGCCCTAGAATGATGTACAAGATTTTTAGAGAGACATATAGCACTAGAATTATCACAGAAAATTGGTATAGGTTTAAAAGAAAGTTCATAGTCACCAAGTTGATGAGACATCCACAATAATTGTGCACAGCATTGTCCAATAGCGATGTATTAAGCTTCAGTAGTAGATAGTGCAACTGATGCTTGTTTTTTACTGTTTCAGGAAATTAATGCTTTACCAAGTAATTGACATGTTCCACTTGTGTTTTTTCTGTCTTCCTTTTCACCTGCAAGATTAGCATCTGAAAACCCTTCTAATTTAAACGTGTTAGAGCGAGGATACCATAGTCCATGAGAGACAGTTCCAATAAGATATCGAATAATTCTTTTTAATGCAGTCAGATGTGATTCCTTGGGAGCTGACTGAAACCTGGCACATTTATAGACACTAAACATAATATCCGGTCGGCTGGCAGTTAGATATAGAAGTGAGTCAATTATTCCACGATACTTAGTTTCATCAACAGGGATTCCCTGTTCGTCTTTGTCGAAGCTCGTTGAAGGACTCATTGGTGTGCCAATGGCTAGCATTACTCATGCTGAATTTTTGGATCAATTCCTTTGTATATTTGGTCTGACATATAAACGTTCCTTCTTCAGATTGTTGAATTTGAAGTCCAAGGAAGAACGTTAGCTCTCCCATCATGCTCATTTCGAACTCACTTTGCATAAGATTTGAAAATTCCTTGCACATAAGAGGATGAGCACTACCAAATATAATATCATCAACATAAATCTGAATAATGAGATTACCTTCTGATGATCTTTTAATAAATAGAGTAGTGTCTACTTTACCTCTTGTAAAATCATGATCAATAAAAAATGAACTGAGTCTTTCATACCGTGCTCGTGGAGCTTGCTTCAGTCCATACAGTGCTTTGGTTAGCTTATATACATGATAGGGAAATTTTGAATTTACAAACCCAGGAGGTTGGTTCACGTATACTTCTTCTTCAATAAAACCATTCAAGAAGGCACTTTTGGCGTCCATTTGAAACAACCTGAATCCCTTAAAAGATGCATATGCCAGAAGGATTCGTATAGACTCCAGTCGAGCTACTTGCGCAAATGTTTCGTCATAGTCGACTCCTTCCTGTTGTGAATATCCTTGAGCAACTAATCTGGCTTTGTTTCTTACAACCTTTCCATCCTCATTCAATTTATTTCTGAAAATCCACTTTGTTCCAATTACAGGAACGTTTTCAGGTTTGGGTATCAGTTTCCATACTTAATTTTTGCCAAATTGATCTAACTCTTCCTGCATCGCTTGCATCCAACTTGAGTCTTTTAGAGCTTCCTCTATCTTCTTTGGCTCAATCTGAGAGATTAATGCTATGCTTTCTTTCTTTTTGAGAGCTCCCCTGGTTTTCATTCCTTCGTTTGGATCCCTTATGATGAATTTTTGAGGAATTCAGGTTCACTTCTCCATTCATTTGGACGAGTTGTATGAGTAGTTCATTAATTGACTCTATCGCAGCATCAGATCCATCAATTGACTTTTGAGATTTGCTTGTCTCCTGAATGTCTTGAACTTGATCTTCATCACCTGCAGTAATTCCTTTCTCGACCGAGGAGTTATTTTCATCAAATATAACATGTACAGATTCTTCCACACATAATGTGTATTTATTATAGACTCTAAAGGATCTACTATTTAATGAATAGCCCAGAAAAATACCTTCATCACTTCTTGGATCGAATTTTCCAAGATTGTCCTTACCGTTGTTGTGAATAAAACACTTACTTCCAAAGGGATAAAAATAACTGATATTAGGACGTTTACCTTTCCATAGTTCATAAGGATTTTTCTTCAAAATGGGCCTTATGAGACATCGGTTGAGAATGTGACATGATGTACTTACTCCTTCTGCCCAGAAATAATTTGGCAGTGAATGATCTAGGAACATAGTTCTTGCCATATCTTGTAGGGTTCTGTTTTTCCTTTTAACGACTCCATTCTGTTGGGGTGATCGTGGTGCAAAGAAGTTATGAGTATATCCTTGATCATTACAAAAGTCTTCAAATGCTCTGCTTTCAAATTCTCCTCCATGATCACTCTGGATTGTTGCGATCAGATACCCCTTTTCTCTTTCAACCTTCTTACAGAAAATCTCAAAAAATTTCAATGCTTCATCTTTATGAGATAAGAAAATCACCCAAGTGAAACGTGAGTAATCATCAACAATAACAAAAGTATATCGTTTTCCTCCTATACTAGCAGTTCTAGTAGGCCCAAATAAGTCCATGTGAAGTAGTTCAAAGGTTTAGAGGTAGATACAATATCTTTGTTTTTGAAAGAGTTTCTAGTTTGTTTTCCTATTTGACAGGCGTCACAAATATGATTTCTAGAGAAATTCAGTTTGGGTAAACCAATAACCAACTCATGCTTAGATAATTTTTCTATCAAATACATGCTTGCATGACCAAGTTTCCTATTCCATAACCAATGATCATCAGATATGGATGTTAAACAGATATGACCACTTATATTTTCAAAACCGTCAAGAATATAAACGTTTACATACCTTTTACCTGGGAGGATTATTTTACTTGTCTCATCTTCAATAGCACAGCCTTTTTTCTTAAAATTTACCTCATATCTTAAGTTTCATAGCTGACTTATACTCAGAAGATTGTAGTTAAGTCCATCGACGAGATAAACCTTAGTAATATCGCAGTTGTTATTGAAGCGAATTGTTCCAGTACCGATTATTTTTCCTTTTGAGTCATCGCCAAACTTAACGCTTCCTCCATCTATTTTTGTAACTTCCTTGAACAGGTTTTTATCACCTATCATGTGACTGGAACACGCACTGTCTAAGTACCATTTTCCTTTGCGGCTTCTCATGTGGTGTTCCTGCAAAACATTGTGATTACTTTCTTTTAGGTACTAAAGCTTGCTTGGGTCCTGGTGGGTTAGTACTACTAGGTTCAGAATTGTTTTTGGGTTTCCAAATCCATCCTGAAATATTTGACTTACAAAAACGACAAAAAGAATATTTATGTCCATTTTTATTGTAGTAGTGACACGTAACTCCTGACCCATTTTTAGGTCTTTCATTAGTGCTAGTACTAGTGGACTCTGTTCTGACTGGTCCTTCTCCAGTTGACTTGTAAGTCGCCTGGTTTGACCTGATAGAACTATGACTGGTGGATTTGCGCATGCCATTGAGTTGCATTTGCAATTCCTCAAACTCTTCTTAAAGTACTTCTTTTTCGATTTCACATACTTCATGTTTGAGCTTCCAGTTTTTTACTTCTTTATTGAGTCTCTTAAGCTCATTCATCATTTTTTGAGACTCTTTCAAAGTCAGATCAAGAATATCCTGCAACTCATTGCATCTTTCACAGTTATAAGATCTTACCTCGCTTGTTTCACCTCGTGCCATGAAACAGTTCTCATTGTTATCTTTGCATTCGTCGTCTGAAGTGTCCTCATCTGTCCAGTATCCTGAAGATTTGTTCATATCGTTTTCCAGAATCGTCATCATGAAGCAAATATTTGCTATCTCTTCGTGCTCTGAACTGTCTTCATCGCTCCAACTTCTGAATGATTTGTTCTTGTTGAAGCCTCTGGAGATTTTCCTTTGATCTGGGCACTCAACTTGAATGTGTCCAAATCTTCCACACTCATAGCATTTTTCATCATTCTTATCTTGTTCGTTATATTGCCTGGATCGCCTAGGTGGAATCCTTCCTCTCCTCGTATTCCTGAATCTTCTCATTAAACCATCCATGTTTCTTGACATCATAGCAACCTGTTCTTGAAGAGCTTCAGGATCATTATCGATATCATTCTCAGCTATTTCAGTTGTGGCCTTAAATGCGACAGTTTTCTTCTTTTCTTCTTGGTTGGTTTTCTTAAGATGTGTCTTTTCAAAGGTTATGAGTTCTCCTCGAAGTTCATCATAAGATAACTTATTCAGATCCTGAGATTCAAGTGTGACTACTTTGGTCTGCCAAGTAGTTGGTAGGCTTCTAAGAATCTTTCTAACTTGATCACCACTTGAATATGGTTTGCCGAAGGCTTTCAGATCGCTAATGATTTTGCTGAATCTGGCAAACATCTCTTCAATAGACTCTCCTTCTTTCATTTGGAAGAGTTCGTAATCATGAACCAACATGTTGATATGTGTTTCCTTTACTGCTGGTTCCTTCGTATGTAACCTCAAGCTTGTCCCACATCTCTTTGGTTGTGTCACAACTGGAGATTTTCTCATACTCTTCACCACTTATAGCATTATAAAGCAAGTTTCTCGCCTTATTGTTGACTTGTACCACTACCATTTGCTCATTCGTATATGAATCTATATCTTCAGGATCAGCAAGTGGTTGAGCGGTAGCCGACAGAGGATAATTCCCCTTTTTGATAACTCTCCAAACTTTAACATCATATGCCTTTGCATATATTTCCATACACTTTTCAGTGGGAGAAATGTTGTCCATTGAAGTATGGTGGCCTTACTTGCGAAGTTCCTTCCTGGAAGAATGCTCCTATGATAACTATATTTGCCATGATCTTTTTTCACAAGTTGTTAAGCAAAAGAAAAATGTGAGTCTTGCTCTGATACCAATTGAAGGTAGAAGAGGGGGGGGGGGGGGGGGGTGTCGTTACTGTATCAAGTTATTACATCTAGTCGACTAATTGAAAAACTAGTCAACATAATAGCAATTAAGTTTAAAAATAAACAATTCACCCCC